GCAAAGCCCCCCGCCCTCTCCAAAAAGTGTACTTAAGCTCTGCTTGACCTCTGCTCTGGGCTCTGGGCTGCTCTCCCTTCCTGAGTGAGCCTTGATCCCCAGCATGCTGGTTCAATAAACTCCCTTTTGCCAATTGCATGGAGCCAGTCTCTTGTGTGGTCTCTCCCTCCGACGCTCTGCCGGACCCTTTACAATACAGAAGAGCCTGTAACTCTAAAAACATCATCTCTGGTAATAACATGGTTCAGGCCCAGAGAAGCACTTCCACACATCTCAGAAGCCATGTCTAGAAACACGATGTCACTGATTGCAAATGCCACAAAGGTCAGTAGGTTGTACCAAGAATATTGAGATCAGAAGTAATTAGATAAGAAAATAGATAAAACTGGTGTGATGGCACACACCTGTAATCTGAACAACTCAGGAACCTGAGGAGGAGGATGACATGTTCAAGGCCAGCAAGGCCAGCCTTATCAACTTAGCAAGACCCAGTCTCAAAATTAAACATAAAGTGCTCACTTCGGCAGCACATATACTAAAATTGGGACAACACAGAGAAGATTTGCATGGCCCCTGAGCAAGAATGACACATAATTTGTGAAGCATTTCATATTTTTTCCCAATAACATTCCATTGCCCTAAGCAAATTTCATGCTTATCCAAAAGTTGAGGGGTGGGAACATGCACATAAAGGAATCTATGAGGTCACATGACAAAGTATGGGGTAAATGTGTGTGTAAGGAAATGTATCCCTTAATAAAATTAGCCATACTATGAAAAACATTTAAATATAAAAAGAGCTAGGGGGCTGGGATTGTGGCTCAGAGCAGAGGTAGAGCACTCGCCTAGTCCATCTACAAAAAAGATTCTCTCTCTCCCTCCTTTGAAAAAAAAAAAGAGAGCTGGGGATATAGCTCAGTGATAGAGTGTCCCAGGGTTCAGTTCCCAGTAGGGGGGAAGACCCTGTCTGAAAATAAATAATAAAAAGGACTGGGGATGTAGCATAAGTACTCCTGGGCTCAATCCCCATGATGAAAGAGAGAGAAATTAATTAACTGGTCAAATCTTTCTCACTGTTGTTCTTCCTATCTCAGTTTGTGGCTCCAGAAGTACTTCAGAAATTAATATAGTGTTTTTAATAGTAGCTGAGGGACATTTTGTAATATTAATTCCTATTTATTTTAAAATTCATACTGTAAGGGACCTGCACCCACACCTGGTCCTCTGGCTCCAGTCTCACCATGGCACCCCCGGAGAGCGAGGCTGGCTTGGGCCACCCTCCGAAAAACTGGAAGAAAGAAGCGATGGACTCGCCGTTCTTGACCAGATCGAACTGCAGACTGGCCTGGTAGACGGTGGCATGGACTGCGAAGTAGTAGACCCCCGGCACTTGGCAGGTGAATTTGCCGGTGGTGGCGTCG